GACGTGATTTGCTTAATTTTTTGTTAACTAAAATTAAAGTTATTACTATTGAAGCAACGTTGTACCATTGTGTGTTTCTCATTTAATATTAATTAACCTTCGAAGGTTAAAACATAGTGTGCACACAATGTTGTAAATTGATTATTAACCCAATAAAGTTAATTAACATACTTAAAAAAAACTCAGTTTTTTTCGGTTGCTAGGTATCCGACGAACATATCGAGCACACGCAAATCGAGGTTGACCACCACTTGCGCAATAATGGAGAACTGATGCTTGCGATTGAAGTAGTTATCTCTGGGAGTGTCGCAGGTTTATCGACGTAGATGTATGTGCAGTCCACCGCTCCGTGGCAGGCGGGGAAGCCCTTGTCAGCGAACGCTTGGAGCACGACGTGTTTCCGCAGCGTTGTCGGCCACGATATCTTGTCTGCGTACACCTTCAACGAAGCGGCAGTAACATCGCGAATGGCGACGAGTTTCGAAGGTCTGCCGATGCCGAATGACGATATGCTGCTTTCATATGTTTCACTGACGCCCAACGGTACAACGCGTAGGCGATGATCTGCTCAGGCTGAAGTGGCTCACAGTAGAATGTCGCTCGTCGTTGCAGATAAGGTGCACACTCTTCCGTGATCTCCATGAAAACTCTGCATGGCATGCGAAGCTTCTCCCGGAAGTACTCGTTCGTGGCATCATCGCACACCCGCAAATCTTCCCAAGTCTCACCCGTTCTTTGGTTCATCCACCACCGTGGCGTCGCCCGAGGGAGCATACCGCACCCGATTGCTGCGCATAATTGAATGACGGCCTCAAAAGTGTTCACACTGCCCGGAGCGTCGACCACCCTCTGCACCAATAACATATGCCTCCGCCTCGAAATCGTTGCCTTCATGCGGCCTGCCGCTGTCTCCACCTGGCTGCGGATGACGACGGCCAGCGCAGCCGCGACGACAACTGTCATCTCAGTGGGCGTCAACTGTGCTTTGCCATGGGGTGGAAAGCCCTCCATCGCGCTCCCCCAACACGAACACGCAGGTCCACCACCAACCCGCCGCCCACACCTTCGTCACCGCAACCCACGCCGCCCCCACTGCGCGTTTCGACGACCTGCAATGCATGACGAACTTCGACGTCACACATCTCCGCCAACCAGCGCTGCCGTTGGAACTTGCCATGCGCCGTCATGTCTCATCCCCTCTTGACGTCATGTCCGTCTTCGCGTGCGAAAGTCTCCATGAGCAGCCGGCAGTTGGCGTCGTCACTCAAGTACGCGTGCACATGGCCAATCCGTAGAGGAATCGCCCGCGCACTGCCTCTTTGATGACCCGTTCGTCCGCTGCCTCGCCGCCTTCCATCCGCAACACTTTGAAATTCGAATTTCGAACGGGGCCATTCCCACATTTTTTTTTTTCCGGAGGCCGTTGTCTCTTCGCGGGATCGGGCTTCTGAACCAGCACTCCTCCTCAGCGGACATTGGCAGTCTGAAGAAGGACAAGCCACGCGCGGCCGTGTAATTCACAGTCTGAAGAAGGACAAGCCACGCGCGGCCGTGTAATTCACAGTCTGAAGAAGGACAAGCCACGCGCGGCCGTGTAAGATTGTATGAAACGGACTGCGGGAGGGCCCAGAGGATCCGTCCTGGGAGAGACTCACGGAGGACAGGTGGAACGGTGCATATTAAAATGGCAAATTTCCCCAAGGATTTGTCCTCGGAGCCCCAGGACGGCCTGAGGAGTGTCTAACGAGCCCCCCATTCTATACTGTGCATATTCTTCCTCTTCTAACCCCTATTCCAACTTCTCTAATACACAGGCCAAAGCTTACCAATTTTGTCTTTTTCCTTGTCTTTTTTTTTTTTTTTTTTTTTTTTTTTTTTTTGAGAAAGTGTTTWTTTGATTTCAAAGCAAGAATAGCCGGGGCCGGGGTCCCCACAATTCAACCCGGAGAGAAACCTTCTGGCAGCATTAGCCAGTTTCGCTTTTTACGGCACCAATAGGAACCGGAAGACTTCAGCTTGGGTTTAGGGAGAGCAAGAGTCATTGAGGGAAGGCGAAGAAAAATTTAAATCGGTACTTTCCCTGAACTTCAAATTTCGGGCCCAGTGCCCAAGGCTGCTGTCTTTTGTGCATGTGGTGAGTTGTGGAGAGGCCTCCCACAGTCCTACCAGCATTTTTCTTGGTTCGTGGATGTATCTATAGCTGGAATTGCGTCCAGTATCATTCGCAAGAAGTTGCGGTATGAATTTCCCAAGAAGTGTGCTCACAGCGGTAGGATTTTCTCTCGGATGAATCTCTAGCTTGCACCGTCATGTTCCCAGCGGGGGTTGTAAATCAGCACCAGCTGTCGATCGGCATTCTGTGGACGGCCCGATCTCACCCATTGACTTGCTAAGGCAGATCGGAGGCAGATTGCCAGGTGGAGGAATTGCCCTGAAATGAGTTTCCTAGAATAGATAAGCCCGATGTTGACGGCTGATGGCACCATTTTTTCGTTGATTTTGTGTAGGTCGCTCCCTCCCTAGCCAATCATTATCACGAACCTGTGGTTCATATGTTCCCATGTTCCCGTACGTTTCGCGCATGTCCGATGAGGATGGTGTCGGCAGTCCCGCTTCCTCGGCTTCTGTACCGAGGAAGAGAATGCACGGCAGGCCCTCAGATGGTATGGATCCGTCTGCTGATCGCCGTGCTCGGTCATTATCTCTGGGTCCCAGGAAAACACTTTGCCCTGCGTCGCGGGCATAGTTCAGTGTGGCCATGCATTGATTGAAGTGCGCGCTGTGGGCCTTCTTACGGGTCCCGTATGCCATGTCTTGAACGTGGCATTTCCGATTGAAGGCGGTCCCGGTAGGAACAGCATTATATATATACATATTATATATATTTGTGCGTTGTGTGTGTGTGTGTGTGTGTATGTGTGTGTGAGAGAGAGAGAGAGAGAGAGAGAGAGACTTTGGGAGGGCGTAATGGGCCACAAACCGATGGGACGAAAAGCGGCGGCGATTACGTCACAACACGACCGGATCTAGCTCGGATGGCAGCGCCCCATGCTTTTTCGAAAACTCGTCGAGGCACCTGCTACCGATAGTGGAACACGTCCTTGTGTCCCGGACTCCAACTGGGATTGTTCTGGATGCATCGGACTGCAGTCGAGGCCGCGTTCAAGTGAGAAAGGCCGAGTGTGAGTGGCCCTCAGCATTAAATTGTAGGGCGTATACTCGCGGACAACCAGAGAGAGTCAAAAGAAATCAGGGTACCTGGGATCCATGGCTTCCGACTGCCAGGCGCGTAACATTTATTAATTAATACGTGGCACACGAGAGAGAGAGAGAGAGAGAGAGAGAGAGAGAGAGAGAGAGAGAGAGAGAGAGAGAGAGAGGTAGGTAGGTGACTGTTTGGGCCTAGTTCACTCACTCCCTATCCCCAAGATTTTGAATGCATCTGGATAGCCCAGATGTCCAGAGGCATTCGAAATGTTGGGGGATGGCCAGTGGTGCCAGTAGGCCCGTAGAGCCGGTGTGTCTTGCACGATGTATGGGGTTCTCGAATCACGTGCACGGATTCGACTGCACATCAGGCGCCTGGTTGATATGCGGTAAAAACGAAGTGAAAAGTGACGGCAATAAATTGATCCTCACCGTCGATCGACGTTCGATGGCTTTGATCGACGGCACGAGTGCTCCAGTAATTGTTTGAATTGAAATTCCATCGAGGCGGTCGAACAGCTCACTCTGCTGATGCTTCTCGCAGCGGGCGGGCAGAGACTACACTATTCCAGTCGAAATAACCGTTCAGGATCTCCTTGAGAGCGTTTGTGCTCACAATATCACTTTTCTGTATGTATCCGGCTGACGATTCGGTACGGATGATCCGCGATCTCCCTGTGATCGGACTCAACCTACGACCTTTTTGGCTCCTGTTTTTTCTTTTCAACTTTTTTTCTTATATATTCGTTTTCCGCCTGTTGTCCGATTAGTTTCGGCGCGCCTATCGCACGGTGGAGCGCGGGATCACTTTTTTTGTTTTTGTTTTTCTATTTTTAGAGCGCGGGACCACTTTCGTTTTCTCTTTGTTGGCTTTCCTTTCTTTTTTTCCGTCCTCCCTTTCCCGTTTTGGTATTCTGGCGCCAAGACCCACCTACAGGGTTGAGTTTCCTCATCGCCCGAATCTGCCCGTGTTTGTGGAGAGGTGCTGTCGAGAAAACTCAACACGATTTTCTGGACATCTCCAAAAACGTCCACATTCCGTGGGCTCGGTCCCACCTGCGCAATTTCGTTGTAGGAGGCTACCACGAAGAGAAATGGAGGGCGCCTAAGGACCATGGATTGACACAATCGATGGTCCCTAGACGCCCGCCAGTCGACCTCCTACAACGGAAAGATGCAGGTGGGACAGGTGGGACCGAGGGGCCGCCGGCGTTGAGGAAACTCAACGCTGCTATTGGTAGTGGGACTTGCCCCCCGGTTCCTATCCGCCTGTCAGTCAGGTCAAGGTCCAGGCAGTTAACGTCTCTTGTCAGCCTGGGTACCATTTTTTATTTTTGAAAGTTTCAATGCAATTTTCTGTCCGTTCCCCGCCGCGTTGCCCTTTTCGCCTTGGCCCCGTCTGCAATTTTCTGTCCGTTCCCCGCCGCGTCCTCCCCCCGCCCCTCCGCCCCTCCGCCCGTTTCTTCCGACGATGGTTTTTATTCAGTGACGTGTCATCTCCTCTCCCGCCGACCCGGGTCCTCTTGTCCTCTCAGCTCCCCGCCGTACCCGCCCTCGCCCTTTCCCATCCGTCCTCGTCCTCGTCCCCTCTCCTCCTCCTCTCTCTCTCTCTCTCTCTCTCTCTCTCTCTCTCTCTCTCTCTCTCTCTCTCTCTCTCTCCCCCCCTCCCTGTTTTTCGCCCGCGCGCCCGCCTATCGATTCGTTTCGGCTGCTCTTTCTGGCATTTCGCGGGCGGCATTGCATTTGCATTGCCGCCTTGGGAATCGGTGGCGCCGGTTGTACGCCCGGACATTGTAATCAGTACAGCTGCCGGACCTACCTACCCCCCCCCTAAGTTCGCTGTCTCTCTCCGCACCCGACCGTACAATCGGCTTTGCTCTGTCTGTTAAGTTCATTTGGGTCTTCTCCTCACGCATGTGCTGCTCGCCATCCTGTGATCGGCGGGAGTGGTGCGGACGATCGAAGAGCGTCGTCCTGACCTCCACTCCCTACCCGTCACCTCATCTCAGTAGGCATGCGGTTTCCTGTGTCGGCGTCACTCAGTAGCTCTTGCAGACTTCTTTTCTCTCTTTTCGTACTCTTCTGTCTCTTCTCCTGCCTCAACATTGTCTCCTGTTCCTGATGCCGTGCGTGTTTGGAAGAGTTTGCCGGGTACAGTGCAGGGCGGCGGGCCACGGTCCCGCATGGCAGTCACTTGGACGAGAAGGCCTTCCTCTTGCTATTGCTTCCTTCCGTTCGGTCAATGTAAGTTCTTCCATAGCTGATCTCTGCTGAAAAAATCCGTTGTTGTCATCCTAACTCCTAAATTCTTCCGTATCCAATTGTATTCCCTCCTTATCGATCGTATATCTGCATTCTGCATGGTCGTCTCATTAGCTGTGCGACAGGGAATTTGCGAGTGAATGCGAGGGGTTGGCATTTGTGTGAAAATGTGCGTGTCGTAAATGTGCGTGTCGTTGTGTGTGTGTGTGTGTGTGAGTGTGTGTGTGTGTGTGTGTGTGAGAGAGAGAGAGAGAGAGAGAGAGAGAGAGAGAGAGAGAGAGAGAGAGAGA